AGCAGTCGAGGGGCGGCCCCCCCAGTGCCCAGCACAGGGGCACGGTCCCTGCCCTGCTCCTGCTGGCCACACCACTCCTGATACAAACCAGGATGCTGGTGGCATCTTCCAAGCTATTTTACGTTAACTACTCCACTTTCTCAAAAATCTTGTTCTAGTCTGTAATTAAAGCCACTCAGGCAAAAAAAGCAGTTTTACAGAACACAGCCAACACGTACATTTACACGTACGCCGGCTAGATACATGTAAATAGGCAACGAGTTCACAAGTTGGTGAACCTCGGGGTCTGCTGATCCAACTGATTTCTGCAGAGAGCCACAGTACCAGTGCAAAAATAAATAACGATGTGACTCCATTACAAAATAATTATTCTATGCTAAATTAAAAAAAAAAAAAATCAAATTGACAATTTGATTCTAAAATGGTAAAGGTTTGAAATTTCACATCTTAAAACAATGTTGTTTCTGGACTTCCTTTAAAGTTATCCATAATTAGACTGTTATAGGAGAAATGCTCAGGGATTAAGAGGTTAGCAGTAGATAGCTGTAAGTTAAAGTAATTAAAAGATTCCAAGATAACTGGCCTGCTAAGTGGACTAAACAACACTGGCAAATAGCTCTTGTCCACAACTTAAAAGATCAAATTTCCCTTTATGTTGCACTGACACTGCAAGTAATAAAAATGACCGTACATTAGAAACATGAGTATTCGGGGGCAGGTGGGTACATCATAAATACATTTTGTTTCTAATTATAAGAATTTACTCAAGCAACACACCCTGCTGGGTGTTGGGTGCACCAGACTTGTATTCTCCATTTAGAGGGGGAGCCAAAATGCCGTGGAATTAACGCTCCGTGCTAGGGGTTGAATCCCAGTTTGAATGTTCAGCAGCCTTGCTGAAGCAGGTCACAGCCTGGAAACTTCCATCCTAGGTCTACAAGTTACCTGAACATAGCATTCGTAGTTGTATAGAAGTTAACTCCTTTGTATCTGTCCAATAGGAAATACATATATTATTTTCTCTTGTGGGTAGTAACTCCAGAACAAAAAAAAAAAATGAAATTAATTCCTTTAAAATTACACAACCATCTCTGGACAGAGTTCTTAGTTGTTACAACTTCTGCTAACTCCTTATGGAAAAGTCAGATCTCAAAGCCGTGCACTTTCATAAACGAGCGCTACGAGCTCAATGGAAAAAACAGAATGATTAAACAAAAAAAAAAAAAAAGAGATTTTTTAAGTGTTTGGCAAATCCACAGATCACTACTGTAAACAAGTATAAGCTACAAGAAAGTGCCTTGGAAAATTAATTTGTATTATCCATTTAAAAAGAGAAGTTTCAGGAACTTGTTATGTAATTTTACTAAACTCAATTTTGAAGAACAGAAAAAGGCCAATGACTTTGATTGCTTTACCCCAGTTTCACATCAAGTATTACGTGCCAGAAAAATATACCTGCAATCGCTCCTAGGGGCTGGGTCTTTGCCGTAAAGGATGAAAACCACTGGTCTTTCCTCCCTGGTGATCTGTGTAGCGTTTAATGTGAGCGTGTTCGTGTCTATATATGCACAATCACCCTAGTGCTGTGCTGAGATATGGTGCACGTCAGCTACCGCGCGCGCGGGAAGAAAGCAGGACTGCTTGTGGGTGATACCCAACTGCCCACCGCACGACTGCGGAGTGATGGCCAGGTGGATCTCAGAGTGTGTCTCCAGGAGATCTGACTCACCTGATTTCTTTTTATGCTTCATCTCCGTTATCCATTTCTACATCTATATCTTTTGTTGTATCAGCCGCTCGTGACAAAATGTCTGCCATTAGTGCTTCCTCCCGTTTTTTACGCCCTTGT